GTTCCTCGTGGTCCAGCGGCACAGAGAGGAGGACGAAGGGTCCAGGTGGAGGCACGGACGGAGGTGATGAGGTGAGAGGCAGCAGGTACCGTTTGTAGACAGGCAGGTTGGAGGCAAGTGCAGCAGGAGCTCCAGGATGATGACGTGGAGGAGATCAGGTACGTCCAGGGAGATCCTTCAGGAATCAAACTTGGAGGGTACAAGAAGTCTGATAATCCTAATCTTTAGAAAACAAGAAGACTGTCACAAATACCAGAGGAAATCCAACGTTCCAGCAGAGAAGAGAACACTTCAGCACTTCTTTATACTCCTGAGGTCATTACAGCTGCACGGTGGCTCAGCTGCTAGAGATGTTGCCTCTCAGTGAGAAGGTTGCTGGATCAAATCCCAGCTGGGGGCCTTCCTGGGTGGAGTTTGCATGTTCTCTCCGTGCTGCGTGGGTTTTCTCCAGGTGCTCCAGTTTCCTCCCACAGACCAACAACATGCATGTTAGACTGATGGTAACTCTAAACAGTCCCTAGGTGAGAGAGAGAGAGAACGTTTGTCTTGTTTGTTTCTATGTGTCCCTGTGATGGACCAGAGACCTGTCCAGGTGTCCCCAGCTTCTCGCACAGTGACTGCTGGACATGGACACTAGTGACCCCCATGACCCAAAAAGGAAGAAACGGGTAAAGATGACGGACGGACGGACGGACGGATGGACGGATGGACGGATGGATGGACGGATGGATGGACGGATGGATGGACGGATGGACGGATGGATGGACGGATGGACAGATGGATGGACGGATGGACAGATGGATGGACGGATGGACGGACCACAGCTGCTGCTCTGCCACTCAAGAAGCTGCAGAAGGAAAAACACTGGAATCCCACAGGCAGAATGTACAGAAGACCACCTCTCTTGGGTTTCTTCAGCAGAACATGAAGTGGTTCTCTCAGGTTCTTTAAGCAGAACATGAAGTGGTTCTCTCAAGTTCTTTTAGCAGAACCTAAAGTGGTTCTCTCAGATTCTTTTAACAGAACATGAAGTGGTTCTCTCATTTTCTTTTAGCAGAACATGAAGTGGTTCTCTCGGGTTCTGTTATCAGAACATGAAGTGGTTCTCTCGGGTTCTGTTATCAGAACATTAAGTGGTTCTCTCAGGTTCTTTTATCAGAACATGAAGTGGTTCTCTCAGGTTCTGTTATCAGAACATGAAGTGGTTCTCTCAGGTTCTTTTATCAGAACATGAAGTGGTTCTATCAGGTTCTTTTATCAGAACACGAAGTGGTTCTCTCAGGTTCTTTTATCAGAATATGAAGTGGTTCTCTCAGGTTCTGTTATCAGAACATGAAGTGGTTCTCTCAGGTTCTTTTAACAGAACATGAAGTGGTTCTCTCAGGTTCTTTAAGCAGAACATAAAGTGGTTCTCTCAGGTTCTTTTATCAGAACATGAAGTGGTTCTCTCATTTTCTTTTAGCAGAACATGAAGTGGTTCTCTCAAGTTCTTTTATCTGAACATGAAGTGGTTCTCTGAGGTTCTTTTATCAGAACATAAAGTGGTTCTCTCAGGTTCTGTTATCAGAACATGAAGTGGTTCTCTCAGGTTATTTTATCAGAATATGAAGTGGTTCTCTCAGGTTCTTTTAACAGAACATGAAGTGGTTCTCTCAAGTTCTTTTATCTGAACATGAAGTGGTTCTCTGAGGTTCTTTTATCAGAACATAAAGTGGTTCTCTCAGGTTCTTTTATCAGAACATGAAGTGGTTCTCTCAGGTTCTGTTATCAGAACATGAAGTGGTTCTCTCTGTTTCTTTTATCAGAATATGAAGTGGTTCTCTCAGGTTCTTTAAGCAGAACATGAAGTGGTTCTCTCAGGTTCTGTTATCAGAACATGAAGTGGTTCTCTCGGGTTCTTTTATCAGAACATGAAGTGGTTCTCTCAGGTTCTTTCATTTTCTTTTAGCAGAACCTAAAGTGGTTCTCTCCGGTTCTTTAAGCAGAACATGAAGTGGTTCTCTCAGGTTCTTTGATCTGAACATGAAGTGGTTCTCTCAGGTTCTTTGATCAGAACATGAAGTGGTTCTCTCAGGTTCTTTAAGCAGAACATAAAGTGGTTCTCTCAGGTTCTTTGATCAGAGCATGAAGTGGTTCTCTCAGGTTCTTTAAGCAGAACATAAAGTGGTTCTCTCAGGTTCTTTCATTTTCTTTTAGCAGAACCTAAAGTGGTTCTCTCCGGTTCTTTGATCAGAACATGAAGTGGTTCTCTCAGGTTCTTTGATCTGAACATGAAGTGGTTCTCTCAGGTTCTTTAAGCAGAACATAAAGTGGTTCTCTCAGGTTCTTGGTACTCACAGTCTCCGGTCCATTTGCTGGGTTCGAGCATCAGTCGGTTCTTGGCCTCCTCCAGCTCCACCTTCAGCTGCTCGTGTTTGCTCCTCAGCTCTCTGATCATCTGCTGCCGCTTCTCCAGCATCCTCAGCCGGGCGTTGAAGTACAGCAGACCCTGAAGAGTGAACAGACACCGGGTCAGAACCAGAACCCTGCAGAAGCTCTGCCCTGTGTGACTCTGTTTACGGATGGGAGGATTACGGAAGCAGAACGAAGAGCCCCAGCACGCTCACGCTCTACAGATGGATTTAATTAAGAGTCAGCCGAAGATAAAATTAGCATTAATCTGTGGAGTTAATCTGCAGGACGGAGGATTAGGGACAGCTGAGGAGAGCAGGGGACACACAGGTGGACCACAAGTCTCTGCTCTTACAGCTGTGACAATAAATCCGCACAGATCAACAACCAGTTCATTACGAGCATGATTTAACTGAACTTATTCTTTTTATTAGAATAAAAAGCAGTGAAGCACAGAAATATTTATTCTGCTGAAAATTAAAATCTATGTCAAGTATCTGGTTGTTAAACTTTAAATATGTAAAACCGACATCAAACTGAGAGCAGCTTCATGTTCCTTTATGATTGTTATGTTGAATATGTTTATTTTATTTTTTTCAATTACACTTTATTTATACCGGTATCTCACTGAGTCACGAGAACTCATTTTTGAGTTCAAACATTTATTGTTAATTAACTTTAATTATTGAGCACAACTCAAACAAACTTCACAAAAAGAAGCGTTACGCAGATTTCTTCATCGCTGACGGTTTAAAGAGTGAAGGTTTGTAGTTGTGAGGAGAGTGTTTTTCTGGAATTGAACAGAGAATGTTTTTATTGCAAGATGTTCAAGGTGGTTACACTGAGGAGCAGCTCAGAGGTAGATTCTTTTTCTTGTCTGAGGCGGCGCAGAGCGACAGATCCCGGAGAGGAGGGAGACATTTTCTAAACCACCAGGAGCAGTGGAGGAGCCATGGGTACATATATAAACATATACATATATATATACATATACATATATATATACATATATATATATATA